ACGAAGAAGAATAGCAGGATAGCAGGGTTATATAACCTTGAATATCAACTGGTCTATCGCAGAAAGAAATGGCAACCTACTGCGAGGGGAAAAAAAAATCTGCCTCGTTAGTCATGTATTAAAATTCGAAAGATACATGATCGTCCAAGCGTGTATCACTGACTGGGCTCACATCAGTTTCTATCAGAATAAATTTTGCAAATAGTATCTGACTGAGAAGCAAGCTGGCGCAAAATATCACCTCCTGGACGCCGGGTGCAGATTCGCCCGACACGTGATCCATCCAGATACGCCTGGGATGTGAACGCACGGGGAAAAGCCGTCTGACGAGTGGACATATAAACACCCACCCTAGAGAGGAGAGATAGAGAAATAGAGAGAAAAGGGGGAAAGAGAGAGAGAGAGTCATGCATATATATGAGAACATAGAGTTCACGTTCGGATAGGGCCCCGGGGCCGTACATAATCACCGTCTGATTGTAATTCAGTCCGGTGTGAAATTAACTCTAAAAGAGTAATGGTTACCAAATATGAACACAAACACCTGATGAAGGTCGGAAAGTAAAACGGTCGAAATTTTCTTAGCATATTAACTAAGATGAACATGCTCTTTTTCCTTTCCTTTTTTTTTTTTTGATGATGTTCATGTTGTACAAGGCCCAAGAGTCACTCAAGGTACAGGGCTGCAGAGTAAGAGGAACAGATTTTTTTGCGGCTATATTTAGCTGTCCCCCTCCCCACGTGGGGTAGCATGTGGCACAAGGCCGAGTTTAATGTGGGTCATCCGGGCCCGTAGGCCCGGCCAAAAATATAGCCTTCGAACCCGCCTAGGCGGGCCCGAGACCTGTCAACCTCCCCGAACGAAACCTTGCCCTTCCGCAAAGCTTCGCCCGGGTTCCTCCCTGCTAATGCAGAGAGTTAGACAGACGGCGGTTGCTGTAAGTTTAATACAGCTATTTTTTGCAGCTGACACCTAGACTTAAACAGGCCAATATTGTAGTTATAAAGGAAGCATCCTCTTGGGAGTCGATTCCCCTAAGCAACGGTTCGTGGGAAGACGCTGCTCGTGTGGAAATTACATCTCACCAATGGAATACGAAGAGAATGACGATGGTTCGTTACAATGGGCGTGGCATAGAGAGTCTTATCCGTGAAGGCTGGTAGCACTAACGAATGTAGTTCGTCTGGACACCTTCCATTGAAATAGCGAGCTGTTGGTGAGAGGCTTTGCTCCGAATATCAAAGTGTATCATAATGATAATTTTTCATGTCAATTATTCCGGAAAAGTCTAATAAAGAGAGATATTGAAAAAGAATTTTTTTTTTTGGTCGTTTGACGGTTAATCTACATTAGAAGATAAAGAAGATCTAGTGGGAATCGACTGATTTGGGACAGATATGGATTTACGTCCGACAATGTATTGTTATTGCGTTGTCCTGAAATTTTTCGTATATTTTTTCGTGTTTTTTTCTATTTTTTTTGGTTTATTTTTTTTTTTTTCTTTTAGTTTTGGATGAGTAGCGAAGCGAGAACGCGCTGATCGGACGCCATTCGTAAACAGAGGCTTAGCAAGGCACGTGATTCGTCATTAATTATTGAATATATGGACCAATGAGCGCGTGGAGACAGAGCGAACAATACTCTGCAGTGTGTAGCGTCTGGGCGATTTTATTGGCTTGTCACTGGACTGGACTGTTCGAAATCTGGTGATAAAATATTTGCACTGACGCATTCCAATCAGAAGGAAAACTAGCCCTTGCAAGAATATAAATCCAAGTGGCCTGGGCGGTGGTGGGTGGTCGAAGTGCTGATAAATTCTCGCCTCGACCTATTTCCGTAAATCAGAATTCTTTTACGCCATTGAAATACTGATTCTCTTCTGGGAAGCCGGACGGACCGAACTTTTTCCACCATCCCTCACACACACAAACTTATATATATATATATATATATATATATATATATATATATATATATATATATATATATATATATAAATTCATGAATCATTCATACAAAAACAAATATAGAGGTTAATGATTTAAATGGCGAGAATTCCTCTATATTTGTTTTTTTGTACGAATGATTCATGAATTTATAGATTATAATTGCACTTTTAATTGAAATTATATATATATATATATATATATATATATATATATAATGGACTCTCCCGTCGGTTTCGACGTATGAGGATCTGACAGCTTATTGATTCAATTATGAAAGTTAGTGCGATAATCTTAAGTGGCATTTAACACCCGCTAGTGATTTACAAAGGAGGCCACATATGGAGCTGTGTGAGGATTGTGAGATGAGATCGGTGTTAGATTAGCTGACCTTTTAGATCTTGCTCTCATATATATATATATATATATATATATATATATATGTGTGTGTGTGTGTGTGTGTGTGTGTGTGTGTGTGTTTCATTAAAGACGACTGACAAGTTACTTCGATTAAGATGTTTATTTAATTTTTCTTGCGTTCGAACAATTGTTTTCTTTTCTGAACATAGAGTGTGTAGAAATTGTCCAAATGTTCTGTAATTCCGGGCGCTTACAGCTACTCTTTCAGCCTTTGTCGAAGCTGATTTTATTTTTTAATTTTAGTTTTTTTTTTTTTTTTTTTTTTTTTATTAACTGGGTGTATGAGTTGAGTGTATGTATCTAGAGTTATATTTTTAAAAAATTTTTAAAACGGCTAAGCTCATCCACAAAAATAACAAAACACCCGCAAAATCAAAACTACAAAGAACGAAAATTATTTACGAGTTCATATGCCCCTTTGATGTTCCTGATCAAACCAAGCTTATTAAAAAAAATTAGATCGGTCACACTAGTACATGGTTATCCAGACGCCATTAAATGCAAGATAGTAAAAAAAAACAAAAAACAACACATGTCCTACCTAGCAAGCTTGACTATCCGACTACAGATCTATTAGGACCCATTTAAAAATACACACAAACTTACTAGACTACATCCGAAGAGGAACCCAGGCGAAGCTATGACGAAGGTCACCTACGTCCAATATATCGTATCGTACTCAGTATTTACGCTGACGACACTTCGCTAAAATCTGCAATGTTATCAGTCCTGACATGACATCTCGGCTTCAGTCACTTCTCCCCAACCCTGTAACGTAACTTCTCTTGGCTCTTTCTATAAATATTTTCATGGCAATTGTTCTGGTGAATTGTTATATATACCGTACCTATGAACACTAACGGGTATGTCTCAATCTTCATCCATACCTTGGGAACTATTGTATGTGGGGGTCATATGCTGCCTAATGATCAAAGTGTAGTACGCTGCTTTTGTGAGCTTCCGAGTAGGCATCTGTCAAACTCTCTGCATTAGCAGAGAGGAACCCGGACGAAGCTTTGCCGAATGGCAAGGTTTCGTTCGGGGAGGTAGACAGGGCCTGAATCCGTCAAGGCGGGTTCAAAAAGGCTATATTTTGGCCGAGCCTACGGGCTCGGGGATACCCACATTAAACCGGCCTTGTGCCACATTCTATCCTCGTGGGTGGATTGATAAATACTAAGCTGACAGCTCACGCTGTCGGCGTGGGAAGCTCTTGCCGTGGAAAGCTCTTGCCGTGTCGAATTCGCTGCCTTCAAGCAGAGAGGAACCCGGACGAGGCTAGACCAAAGAGCAGAGTCTCGTCCGGGGGAGGTAGACAGCTGCCTGATCCTGTGTGTATAGGGTCTACGGGCTCGGAATCTCCCACGTAAAAAAATAAATCGTTATTCTGCCTGACGACTCTCTGCTTTCAGGCATAGAGGGCTTCAGACGTCTGGGGGAGTAGACAGTTGCGTGGGAATTTTGTCCGAGCACATTAAAAACTGGCCTTGTGCCACAACAAAAACCACACACAACCAATCTGGCGGGTCATTGGAACGTCGAACTGAACTCTTTATTTCGCTCACTGGGGTAGACTGTTCTAGTTCCACGTGATGTGCTTAATGGATGTCTGTTATCAGTTATCTCCTGTTAATTCCCCTCTCCAAGTTCTCCACTGCCTTAAGCAGTTATTGAACTCACACTCTTTGGGTCCTGTTACTGGATCTAACTAACGCCTTTATCCACTGTGCTATGTGTCCTTGAGGACAACTGGGTAAAAATTTCTGGGTATTATAAACCTAATGTCTTCAGCAACTATTTTTACCAGTGCTCATATTGCAATTTTTGCCGTTATCAAATCATGTTTTTACCAGAGCTCATATTGCAATTTTTGTTGTTATTATCGCTTTTCTCTGGCACTCCTTATTACTGGTTCCCATATTGTATTCGTTTCTATGCTTGGTCGGCTCAGAAGATTTTTGGGGCCTAGCATATGTGCTGATTCCTTAAGTTTACGAATTTTCCAATGGTGTTCTTTGTCTATAATCTCAACTAGATTCCACAGAGGGCGGTGATCTCCCTTCTCTCTCCATATGTGGTCAGCCACACTTGATTTTTCAACTTCCCCTCATGTTACAGCTTGCTGGTGTTCTTGAAGCCTTACCTTAAGGGGCGAATTGTCTCCCCTTTATATTTCCTTCCGAAGAAGGCCGGAGCGTACAACGGCCGAAACGTTGTAATAAATATGGCGGCAATAGTCCGAATTATGTAAATAATGTACATAATACCTCATCTCAGAATTATAGACATATACTGAAAGGCCGAAACGTTGTAATAAATATGGCAACAAAGATGAGGACAATAGTCCGAATAATGTAAATAATGTACATAATACCTCATCTCAGAAATATAGACAGATATTACCTGGCGAGCTTGAGTAACAAAGTTTATGAAAGATAATAAAAAACACATTTATTAAGAGCTAGAGTGGACAAGGAAATGTGGAGAGCCATGATCGACAACATACTGAAGTGATATGCCACATATACGAAGAAGAAAAAGAAGTCATTCCTTCTCCTTTTGCTCACTACCTGGGACCGCTTAAAATATCGTCCCGGTGGCAATAGAAACCGCATGTTGAGATTTATATTGACCTTTGGGTAAAGGACTGCTATGCAAGCTGAAAAGAATAAGCGAATAGCCAGCGCCTTTGTTCTCATATGGGCAGCCGTAGACAAAGTACGGATCGATTGGACAAGGGGTTCGCTCGGGCAAAACGCCAATACAGTGAGTGGAATCAAAGGTCCCGAATGTCCTAAGAAGAGAAGACCGGGAGAAGAAAAAAAGAAAAGAAAGACGGTCAACAAAAAGGGAGAGAGGTTTGCTAGGACTAAATAAGTGAGAAGTGGGTTTAATTCGGCTGTCCGTTGTCGAAAATGAGGACAAGGTAAAAGGCTGATGGGAGATGATAAAGATGATAGTGAAAAGGGTCGAAACTAGATTTTAAATCTTTTAAAAATTGAATAAATAGAAAACAACGAATGAAAGAATAAACCGAAAAAGAGCATAGGCAGAAGGAAGGAAGAAAGGAAGGAGGGAAGGAAGGAGGGAAGGAAAAGAGAAAGAAACAATAAATAAACGAATGAGAGAAAAAAAGAAAGAAAGAATGAAGAAGAGGAAAGAGAAATTTTGAAGTAGGAAAGATTAAGAACGAAGAGGAAGGAAAGAAGGAAGGAAGTATAAAAAGAAAAGAAAAACGAACAAAGGGAGGCAAAGAAAATAAAGGTTCCGCGTGGAAGGAAGGAAAGAAAATAATATTGAAGGAAGGAAAAGAAGGTAAAGGTCACGGAAAGAATGAAAGAAAGAACGAAGGAAGAAAAGAACAAAGAAACAAACGAAGGAAAACAAAATAAAAATCACAGAAGGAAGGAAGGGACAAAAAGGGAGGAAAGTCAAATGGACAAAAGAAAGAAAGAAAGAAAGAAAGAAAGAAAGAAAGAAAGAAAGAAAGAAGGGAAAAAAGGTGGGGGAAGGAAGGAAGGAAGGAAGGAAGGAAGGAAGGAAGGAAGGAAGGAAGGAAGGAATTAAATAATCCAGGACCAAAAGGGAGGAATGTCAAACGGACAGAATAAAGAAAGAAAGAAAGAAAGAAAAGAAAGAAAGAAGAGAATCAGGAAGGAGGTGAAAGGAAAAGTGCGAGAAGGAAGGAAGGAAGGAAGGAAGGAAGGAAGGAAGGAAAAAAAAGAATTAGATAATCCAGGACAAAAAGGAAGAAATGTCAAACGGTCAGATGAAAGAAAGAAAGAAAGGAAGAAAGAAAGAAAGAAAGAAAGAAGGGATGGAGGAGGGAAAAGGAAAGGTAGGAGAAGGAAGGAAGGAAGGAAGGGAGGAAGGGAGGAAGGAAAGAAAAGAAAGAATTAAATAATCCAGGACCAAAAGGGAGGAATGTCAAACGGACAGAATAAAGAAAGAAAGAAAGAAAGAAAGAAAGAAAGAAAGAAAGAAAGAAAGAAAGAAAGAAAGAAAGAAGAGAGCCAGGCAGGAGAGAAAAAGGCAAGGTAGGAGAAGGAAGGAAGGAAGGAAGGAAGGAAGGAAGGAAGGAAGGAAGGAAGGGGAAATATAGCAAAAGAAAGAATTAAGAATTGGCAAAAGTGACTTTCTACCTAAGTGCTAATATAATCATTAGGTTTGGTGTAAGTGGTGGCAATAACAGATGTTTGGATGACAGATGACCCCCGCCTCTTATCCACACATCACCCCCGTGACGGTCAAATCTATTTCCATATCTGTGTATCGTGTGTGCGCGTGAGAGTGTGTGTCCACGCGAGCTTCTACACAATACAACTTCGAGCACAAACTCACTAATATGTGACTTAAACGCCTTGAAAATGAATCGCGTTGAAACACAGATCACCGGAGTTAAGCAACGTCAAGCCTGGTCACTATCTAGATTGGTGACCGCTTGGGAGTACCAGGCGTTGTAAGCTTGAATATGCGGGTGGTGTAATAGATAGTGGCACGCAATTGTTAATCGAGGAACCGAGTTCCACTTTCATTCGGCTTCGTTATATTCATTTCAGCGTAAATACCCTTTGGAAAAAGTATAAATCCCCCTCATGGCCCTCAGCTATGGGTTAATTAGTAAGACGGGTATTACTACACCATTATCTAAAATGTAAATGCATGATAAGCCAATGTAAACGAACTAATCAATCAATCAAATACTGATTAGCTGCAGAGGCGTGTCTTTTAGATTTATTTACATGCTCTGGAATGTAAATGTATAGAAATTAGCTTGGTCACAAATTGAGGGATCAGTTTATATATTGATTGCAATATAAAATTCATTCCCCACAATATACCCTCATTATCAGCCGTAGAAAACGAATCGATCAAGCAGTCACATTCATTAAGACATGTTTAGAAGATATATATATATATATGAAGAAATATAGTCTTAAGGTGTGCTATATTTATGGGATAAAGTGCTCAATATCAGAGATAGAGCGTGTGTAAATATAAAAGTGAACATAGAAGTCAAGACTTAGAGGTGACATCTAACATGAAACAGACTGTCGCCTCTAAGTGTTGACTTCTATGTTCACTTTTTTATATATATATATATATATATATATATATATATATATATATATATATATATATATATGTGTGCGTGTGTGTGTGTGTGTGTGTGTGTGTATGAAAATTTCTTCGATTTAACCAGTAGAGACAATATTTATGAATAAAAATGACAATAGGAAAACTAGTGATTACTGACGCGTTTCGTCTAATGTGGACTTTATCAAAGCAAAATACGAAAAAAAAAAAAATAAAGTCCACATTGGACGAAACGCGTCGTAAATACTAGTTTTCCTATTGTCATTTTTTTCATTCATATATATATATATATATATATATATATATATATATATATATATTACCTCAATCTCTCTCTCTCTCTCTCTCTCTATATATATATATATATATATATATATATATATATATGAAATGGACAAAGTCTGACAATTATTTATAAAAAAGAATTATAAACATAAAAATGTATTTATATATATATATATATATATATATATATATATATATATATATATATACCTCTCTCTCTCTCTCTCTCTCTCTCTCTCTATATATATATATATATATATATATATATATATATATATATATGAAAATGGACAAAGTCTGACAATTATTTATAAAAAGAATTCATAAACATAAAAATGTATTTTATATATATATATATATATATATATATATATATTACCTCCATGTTGAGATCCTTTTTCTTTATTGTTTTTTTTTGTTGTTTTTTTTTGCTGTAAAAAATACATATGCTCTGTTATAATAAATACATCAAGCTCTCTGTGGATCAGTTTTAATAATTAATATTACCAGGATCCACCCGGATTATATACCAACGGATCGATTACCTTTACTATATTTATATATATATATATAAATATATATATATATGTGTGTGTGTGTGTGTGTGCGTGTGTGTGTGTATGTGAGCGCGCGTGTGTGTTTTTGGTGAGAGACAGTGGATCGTCAAGCCTCATTTTGAAGTAATGACCCCTGCAGCTTTTTCAAATTAATTTGTTACGCTATAGCGAACACAAAGTTTCCAAATCCCTCGATACGATGTAATCTTACTTATGGACAAACAGCACACACGCACACCGACGTGCGTGGCGTGTGGGTGTGGCGCACTTCGAGCCGACAGAAGATATTTGTCAGGCCGGAGTGAACATAAGGCATCGAGAGAGAAAGCGCCCGAAATGGTATTGCCAGCGCAAAGGAAAGAATTACTCTGAGAGCGACAATGAGGCGACGAGCATTTTTTTTTTTTTTTTTTTATTAGTCAGACAGGGAAAGCTGTCCGAAATTATGAGCGTGACTAAGTTACCAGCTTTCCTTATTCTCATCACTTGAAAACGCACAACGGGACCAAAAGAAAACGATCATTGCCTTTGATAATAAGCAAAAACTTACATCTCTGGAAGCCCTTTATATAAGAGAATTGCCGTCAAAAAAATAAATAAAATCAACTAGAAGTATATCAACAAAGTTCTTAAAAGTTTGTAGCAGCAAAGTTTCATATTAAAAATACTAAATTAAAATACTACAATTTTTTAAAAAAACTTAAAAAAAAATCACATAAGTTATCTCCCTTGCATAGAGGTGAAAAATATTTTAATTTGCGTAGTTAACGCATAACACATCTATAAATATGCAACCGCTGAAGATGGTCTCAGATAAGACGGAAAGTACGTGGAAAAAAAAGTTATTTGAAAGAAAATTTTGGAATTTTTCTTAATCAATTTTCTACAGCCACCAAGAAATTAATTCGTGGAATTTAAAGGATTAAAACTAAAATAAATAGACATAATACGCATAAATTATTTAACCAAACATGCCTGAATACACACACACACACACACACACACACACACACACACACACACACACATATATATATATGTGTATATATATGTGTGTGTGTGTATTTATATATATATATAAAGAAATATAGTCTTAAGGTATGCTATATTTATGGAATAAAGTGCTCAATATCAGAGATAGAGCGTGTAAATATATAAAAAAATATATATTTATATATATATATATATATATATATATAAAAGTGAACATAGAAGTCAACACTTAGAGGCGACAGTCTGTTCCATGCTAGATGCAATCGTCAGGCCTGACGATTGCATCTGTATTAATTCTGTGGTATACCAATGTACTATTTCATCCACAGAGAGCCCTAGCACTAATATGATATACATTGGGTCCACGAAGAATAATTTTAAAGATAGATGGAGGCAGCATAAGTGCTCCTTTAATAATATAAACAAAAGAAATCAGACTTCACTATCAAAATATTTTTGGCACCTGAAGGAAACAAATAAGACACCAAAAGTTAAATGGAAAATCATTGACAAGGCCAGAATATGTAAAGCTTGGGATGACCCATGCCCTTTGTTCCTCCATGAAAAATTGCACATCATTAAACTTCTAAATAATAATAATCTATTAAATAATAGACACGAGTTAACGGTTTTTTGTAGACATCATCAGATTTTTGGTTTGAATTATTAGATAAAAAAAAAATTTATAATTACTTGTTTAACAAATAACCCAATCATCAGATTCATAGTAGGAATAATTAACTACAAACATGCATACAACATAACACCCTTCATAATCCATAGCCCAAAGTAGTAGTTTAAATACCCTACATAAAAGATAACCCTTTATGAAGTCGTCAAAAAACAAACGTTACGAAAGTTTTTTCTTTTTTCTATGCACAATTCCTTTCATAATAAAATAAAATAAAATAAATAAATCTCCATAGACAAGCAAACTAGACGAAGGTTAATACATCTTCCGTTTCATTTTTTGACACCCCACCTTTCCCCGACTTGACACCTTGAAAGTATCTCTATACCGCTACTTAATATAAACACCCTACACTCGCCTACCCAATTTAAACAATTCGCCCTTGCTGTTACCATGGAGATTTTGATTTCAATTTTTTAAAACAAGTAAATTTCAGATATACGTTATTCCAACAAAAATTTCGCTTGAAGATGGAACGGAGCCATTT